ACTACTACTCCGTTATTATATATATATATATATATATATATATATATATATATATATATATATCGCGATCATCGAAATGAAAAATCTTGATGCTTCTATCTAAAATAAATCTAAAATTAATCCCCCGTTAAATTTTTTATTTCAACAAAAATTAATAGATGCAGACGATTAATAGAAATGCACGAATCGGAGTATAAATTAGAACGATGAAACGATGGGAATAATTTAATTAAATCCATTTAATTATCCGTAGGGCACGAGAAAAATCTTAACGAAAGAATTAATTTGGGCGATCGATGCCGACACACCGTCAGACATGTTGGTTTACACGGTCTTACGTACCGACGCGGATGCTGGATACGTGGAAAGAGTGACTTATCCGTCGCGACCTATCGACACGTTTACCCAGGCTGAATTAATGCAAGGATTAATTGCATACGTACACCGTGGAAACGGTAACAGCTTCATCGATATTCGCTATGCAAACAAACATCATTATTGTCGTTTAATTGCTGTCTATGCGAGAGCACGATTACCGGTTTATTAACGATTCAAACGTATTTATTCGGTTCAATTACGGTTTTTCAGCGAAACCGAACGCGAAGCTTGATCTTCAGGTGAGCGATGGTATAGAGAGCAGTGAACCGGCGAGTTTAAGGGTGGCAGCTCATCCTTTAGAGATCAAGTTGATGCACAACACGGGACTGGTCGTGGTGCATCGGTCCTATTCATACCTGACACCGGCGAATCTCTCTTTCACCACAAATTCCGACGACAACACCATCGATATACGTTACGACATCGTGTCGAAATCGCAATTTGGCGCGATTCAGAAGCTGAAGGACGTCTCGAGCAGCTGGATCAACGTCGACCATTTCACGAGCAGGGACATCGAGTTGCACACGATACGCTATCTTCACAACGAGGGAAGCCCGAATCAGGACGAGTTTAAGTTTCAAGCTAGCGTTAGAGAGGTGAGAGCTCAACACACCTACGATTTTCGGATCACTTTCATCGATCTCGAGTTGAAAGAAGCCAAGAGGATACCCGTTAACTTTACAAACGTGGCGGAAGTGATCGTCACCGGGCAAAATCTAAGGTATCAAACGAACCCGCTGATAACCGCGGTCAACAAGATCGTTTTTACCGTGACGATGGGACCAAGATACGGTAATTTGTTCCTTTCCTCGGGTCGAAAACTAGAAGTCGGAGACACGTTCGCTCAAGAGGATATCGACTCCGGCAAATTGAAATATCGACTGTTCAAGAGGGCCTATTCCACGATTCTCGATGAATTCGGTTTCAAAGTGAGCGCGCCACAGTGCATCGATTTACACTCCACGTTCAAATTCAGGCATTATCTCAGCAAAAACGTGAAACCTTTGGACAGCGTGGAAACCGTGAGGGTCGACGAAGGATCCAGAGTGCCTCTAAGAATTCTTCGGACGAATCCAAAGGATTACGGGGTTACATCGTTAATCTATAACTTGACCATAGTTCCGCATCACGGTTGGTTGACCGTCACCAACGATTCCAAGTCTCACTCGCGAAACAACACCTCCCACTTTACTTCCGACGAACTTTCGTCCCAAAAAGTGTACTACGTTCACGATGACTCGGAGACGAGGGAAGATTCGTTCCAATTCGTCGCTATCGCCTCGGACATTGTCGATTTCATGTACGTGGGCGTGTTTCGGGTCGAAGTGACGATGAAGAACGACAACGCGCCGGAACGAGTGGTTCACAAAGTGTTTCACGTGGTGTCCAAGGGCGAGAGATTACTCACGAGCAAGGATCTTGCCTATACGGACAAAGATATCGATACGAAGCCTAACGAATTGATATACACGAGAAGAGATACGCAGAAGAACGGAATATACAGGATAACCAATCCCACGTCGCAGATACACGAGTTCAGTCAACAAGACATCGACGACGGCCAGATATTGTTCAAACATCAGGGCGAGGATCATGGAAAATTCGAGTTTGGCGTTACCGACGGCTATTTTTACACGGCCGGTGTCCTTGAAATTCAAGCCAGCCCTCCTTACGTGAGATTGAGAGAGAGCAATGGATCCGTAGTGCAGTTCAATCGATCGGTCGCTCTTCGTCCGAACGAGTTAGACGTTGAAACGAATGTGTACACAACGGACAAAGATATCAAATACGCGATACTGGAAAAACCGAAGCACGGAGTGCTGTTGAAGCACGGTAGAGAAACTAATGCGTTCAACAAAGAGAATTTGCGTTATGGCATAGTGTTGTACAAACATCTCGGAGGATCTTTGACGAAGGATGATTTTAAATTCAAGGTATCGACCAAGGGTGCAGAGACAGAGGGGATGTTCCTGATTAAAATTTATCCCGAAAGTTATTGGCAACCGTTGATCGTTCAAAACAATAAAACGGTGTTCGTGGAGGAAGCTACTAGTATCTTGTTGAACAGAAAAAGTCTCGAGATCATGCATCCCAAGATACCAGACTCCGAAATAGTATATTTTTTGAAAGAGTGGCCACAGAATGGATATCTGGAGCTACAAATTCACGACGAGCATAGTGACGAGACTCGAGAGGATTATATCGGAAACGCGGTGAAATCTTTCGATCAAAGCATGATAAACGAGGGCCGTGTGTTCTACGTGCAATCCGTGATGAATCAGACCAACGATAAATTCGTCGTCGATGTGACCAATGGAATAACTTGGTTACGCGATCTCAACGTCAATTTTGTGATCGTTCCGGAAAAACTTTACGTCGAGGCGAAGGGTATCGTCGTGGTCGAGGGAAAGAGTACCATTCTCGATGAAACCAACTTTTCCATCCTCACCCCTTACTATTCCAACAAAGTGACCAATTTTCGAATCGAGGAAAAACCGAAACACGGCACGATACTGGAATCGACCAAGAATTCCGAGACGAAAAAGTCCTCGTTCAAACATTTAAACGGTGGAATAATATTGTACAAACACAATGGGGATGAATTTTCCAGAGATTCGTTCAAGATGGTCCTCATTGCGGGGGATAAAACGAGCGAACCGTTCGACGTTTGGGTGACGGTGCAACCCGTTAACGACGAGGTGCCCGTGCTGGTTAACAGGACGAAATTAACCGTTTGGCAAGGTGGATCGATCACGTTAACGCCCGATAATTTAGCGGCTGTTGATAACGATACCACGGCACGTGATATAACATTTAACGTCAGTGGAGTTCGAAATGGATTAATCTCGTTAAAATCTTCCCCGGAGGTGGATATTTACAATTTCACTCAGGAACAAATTGATCGATCGAAAGTCATGTTCACGCATACGAGTAAGTATATTACGGTGAGAAATTTTTTCCCCACTTATTCGTAAACTCAAATTTCTTAAAAGATTTTCCGTTCCAGATGGATCCGACGCCGAGTTCAATTTCGTACTCTACGATGGTGTACACGCTACGGAATCTTATACGATACTGGTCACCACGAAACCGATCCGATTGAACATCGAGCAAAACGTTGCTTTGAACGTTTTTCCGCTGACCAGAAAAATGATATCCAGTAAATTATTGTTAACTAAATGCTCGGACGAGACTCGGGAGATAAAATACACGGTGCGAAATGGACCGCATCTTGGAAAAATCATCATGGAGACGAGCGAGGGTGCATGGTTGAACGTCGAACGATTCACGCAAACGGATGTTAACAATAGCAAAGTTTTCTACGAACATACCAAACAATTTATGGATTTGACTGCCAATGATTCGTTCACGTTCGACGTGGAGGCACATTTCGCGGAATCCTTAACCAATCAGGCGAGATTACAATTATCTTTATCTAACACTCGTTGAACGAACACGTAAATAAAACAACGAATATCTCTATACACGTGAAATCATTTTAACTTTACCGCATTTTCTTTCGCAGGTATTTCAAATAGATATCTCAGTCTCCAGCGGTGGATTGGACAGATATGTCTCCGTAAAGAACGTGAGGGTCGAAGAAGGTGGTTCGGCTCAGGTAGTGATGAACATAAGCGGAATCGTGTCGTTCCTTCAAACTCACGCTGGAATCGAGAATCCGGCGGTACTCTCGAGGTTGGTCAATCAACCTAGTCACGGCCACGTGATGATCGTCCCGGATTTAAACGTTACCACTTTCTCTCAACCCCAGATCGAAGGTGGAAAGATCGCCTATTATCACGATCATTCGGATACTTTGGAAGATCGTATCAATTTTTCTCTTTACTTGACTCCTGGTCACATCCTTCTGTGCAACACCAGTATTCCCGTGATAATCGAACCCGTGAACGACGAGCCGTTCAAATTAATCACAAACGCACCGTCCATCACGGTGGTTCAAAATCAGAATCAAACGATAACCAGAGAGAGTTTGTTAACGATCGATCCGGACACTCCGCCGGAAGAAATCGTATACGACGTGATATCCAAACCGACGTTCGGTCGCCTATTGCTTCTACCGTTCAACGAGAATATCTCGGAAGTTCGTCAAGTGAACAAATTCACGCAGCACGACGTTGATTCCAATCGATTGGTGTACGAGCACAATGGACCTCTTCAAGCGGCCTCATTTTACTTCAGAGTTTGGGATGGACGGTTCAACCCGATGTACACGGTGTTCAACGTCTACGTTTTACCCATCAAACTGAACGTCACCGTCTTAGGTCCTGTAAATCTCCAGCAAGGATCGAACGTGGCTCTAATTTCCGAGAGCACTGTGAAACTAGACACTAACGCGAGGCAAGATTTAGTCATTTACGACATAACGACAACCCCGAAGTATGGAGTGTTATACGTGCGCGATGGAGCGGCGGTTAGTTTCAAACAAACAGATTTGCTGTCGAAAAGCGTGATGTTTATGCAAACGGATATGACCGTGTCGAACGACAGTCTCGAGCTGACCGCACGATTGAGCGGATTTGAACAGAAGCGTATAAGAATTGATATCAAGGTAGTACCTCTGATGATTATAAATCCTATGATCGCTTTGGCAGGCGAGAAGACTAGAATAACGTTGCAGTATATGGATGCCACGCCATTGGCTAAATTGACCAGCAGTAATCCGATATACACGATTATCAAAAAACCGAAATTTGGTAAAATAAAGAGAATCATAAGAAGTTCCTTCTCGTCCGGCGAGAAACGAGGAACTCGAGAAAAAGAGGTGACGAAATTCTCTCATCAAGAGGTGATGTCGGGTGTGATTTATATGGTTTGCAAAAAAATTCCAACAATGGAATACGACGGGGTAATGGATAGTTTCGCGTTTATCTTAGCGGCCTCCATCTTTCAACCAGCCGTGGGCGAGTTCGATTTTCGCGTGAAACTCGACATGGATGAATATAACATCACGTTAGGTGGTCCAATGGACCCGGTAGGTCACGAGGGTGAAATGGCGATCGCCCCCAACATGAGCAACGATTATCTGTTAATTCTAGGAATGCTACTAGGCGTATTCTTGCTCGGTGTAGTGGTGATAATCACTATTAGGTGTAGGCAAAATAAATACAAACACGCCGAGGAGGAGAAACCAGAACCGACCCCAGCAGTGGGTGTGATGCCTCTGCCAAGACCTCCGGACCATTTAATGCCCGTCACCCCTCACGTGAAACGTTACGCGAACGATCATAACAGCGTGACAGCGAGTACTCCATTGCCAGTTCTACCGACCATGACGTCGACCCTACCTCAATGCAAAGTGATACCCCTCAGCCCTCTGGAAAGTATCACAGGATCCGAAATGGATGTTTCGGCCAAATATCCGTACGGTGTCGCGGATGGGGACGAATGGAGCAGTTTCGACACATCCGATCTACCTTGCCAATCGAGCACCACACAAAGGACCAACAATCCCTTGCTAAGAAGAAATCAATATTGGGTCTAGCAAAAGGAGGGCTGTTCGCGATTAAAGCGAAACAGGCCGTAACACTTTCTCAAATTTGAAGACTGTTTTTTGTTACGAAACTTGAGACTAATCGTCGATTAACTATGGTCTTAATGTGCCTAAAAATAATAATTGACTCCGCGAAAGGGGATATTATCGAAAGCCTCGATTTTATATCGGAAATTTTGACGGAAACTCTTTTTCCCGGCATCGACTCTTCCGCGATCCAAGATTGTATTACTTATATCGTTAATAAGTCGTCGATATATCGTCGATAAGTCGAGGATCAGAGTTTCCATCGACTTTTTTGTTCTTTTGTTACACTATAAGCGACTCTGACAAGAGTGCTAAGTATACATATATTTCAACTAGTAAAATTTTGCGTGGTTTGCGCGTAAAATATTTCGCGATGTATCTTGTTAGTACCGCAAAAATACTTTCGCGATTAACGGGAAAGCTAAACACTCGTTAAATGTAAAAGAATACAAAACCCGAGACTATCATCGCTATTGTGGATCGAATGTGCCTAAGATATTAACGAGTCTTGTAAAAAAATTTTCCCACGACGCCTGCACGATGTCGATTTCGCAGTCTTTCCTCTCGGTTCGAAACGTTTTCGAATCTCTCGTCTCAGTCAAATCTACGTCAATCGAGATAACTTTTCCTTTGATGTTTTATAGCGATACTTCTCTTCTGAACGAATGATCGTTTCTTTATACGAAAAAAGAAAAATAAGAAAAAAAAAGTCATTGTCGAACATTCGAGAATGTCAGAAAAGTGTTTAAACGAGTATACCGGTAGAAACATTATCAGACGCGAAAAATGTTACATACATAATAAAACGTAAAATTTTTAGTAAAAAAAAAAAAAAAAAACTAACAAAATGGACTGCGTATTTCAGATTTATATACATATGAAAAATATACAGAAGTTATTTGCGACTTTTCTAAAAACCAAAAATAAAAAAAATAACATATATATTTAAACATATATATGCACGTTCAAAGCAGTACAACCAGAGATACTTCGAGTTTTCGCACATATCTTTTTACACGAGATTTTCATGTATTTCTACCGATTCGACTGAGTCTTATATAACGTCGATTTCTAAATTCTCATTTTATCAGTTGAGATCGCCTTTATTCCTTTTCACACGATCTTATACCATTGGAGCAAAAAATATACACGTAAGAAATATACGTATTGAAACGTATACAAAAATATTCGTTATAATTTCCAAATTTTCAAATATCAAAATTGTCATTGCCTATTTTAACGATTTTTCTACTCCTTTAAAAATAACGATGTCCTTTTCTACGTACTAAAATTAATCTTGTCGACGTCGTGAAGGTTGAGTTTATTAGATCTTATAGACCGAATATGAATCCTCTTACGTCAATACTACATGACGATAGAAAATTAATTGTGAATTTATTAGCAGCCGTGATGACGCCGTGGAAAAAAATTTATCCGTGAATCAATTTTTCAATACAACGACAAATTTTATTAAACCGTATTAATTGATCGGCGTATGGAACGCACAAAAATGAATTCATACACTCTCTTCAGTATTAATAGTAATTTAATAAATCGCTCGATTAATCGATATCGACTTGTTGATTCGCGCGCTCGTCAATTTTTCGACGAATAATATTTAAACATTTGTCTTTTAGAGCTGCGCAAATTCACAGTGACCTTAACCATGATTTCTATAAAATCCCTAGGAAATATATAATTAAGGAAATGCTCTAATGTCGATGTTAATATAGTGATAATGATAATAATAACGATAATTATTATTATTATACATGAACATATAAAATACATACACTCTTAAAATAGAAGACAAACTGTTTCACGAATTCGAAGCATATGAATTAATATAACAGTTCCAGTTCTCATGTAACGAAAAGAGAAAACATTTTTAACAAAAATACATGAGTTGATTAATGAATATGCCAGAAACGAACAGTTAGGCTTTTTTACATCCCTAAAATGAACCGATCCGAGTGCCAAACTTCTATATTGTGTAACATATATAGTTATATAGGATTGTATTTTCCCTGCCGACTGAATGCATTACTCTTGTAATTCAAATAAATTGAATGTGCGATGTTATATAAAGTGAACAAATCATAATTACATACATATACCTTCCCATAATATAAAGAATTTCGAATAGAAAAAGAATATATATATTTGCATATACGTAACTGAAATCGTTTTCCTTTTCCAACTGTTTCAATTTAATTCCAGAATTCAATTTAATCCAAAAATAAATAATTTAATTTAACATTTTAACGAGAAAGAATAACATTCAGTGACAAGGTAAGAAAGAATAGATCAGGTATCTAAAATATACATAATCGCGATTGCAGCCAATTAGCTCATATTACTTGCTCTACAATTAATAATTATATCACTTATGTTACAATTAGTAATTGTATATCAAGTAATACCAACCCAGGTCTCACCACGTGGAGGTTGCTGCATATTGGAGACCCACCCTAACCACACGATGTCCCATCCACCCTCCTTTCACGTAAAAATTTGTTTATTTAAATTAATTCTTCTTTTGGTGTGTTTGCAAAACGTTCAAATATTTGATCGTTGTGCAAAACAACAAAAGAAATTGTAAGAAAAACCGACGCGGAAAATAATGATCCTTAAAATAAAATTAAAACTATGTCTAAAATTAATTACGTAATTAATTCAATTATTTATGTGAGACGCTCTTTCATTATATTATTATTTTACACTTTTATCGTTATGAAAGTGTAAAATAATTTGTAAAATATAATTTAATAATCAATAAGTATAGGGGAAAAACAATAAATAAATAAATAAGTAAATGAAATGCGTTTCACAAAGAATTATTCTACCCATCACCATTTACTTATAATTACTTATAATTAAGTAATAATTAAGAAGAGTAAATAATAACTATAAGTAAGTAATTATTAATAAATTAATGAGTAAATAATAATTATAAGTAATTAATTACAAAATAAATTAATTACTTATAATTATTATTTACTCTTCTTAATTATTGTGCATGCACTTAACTATAAATATATCTCATCGATTATCTTACATCTATCTTATTGCTACCTTATTACTATCTTAATTGTACATGCATTAATTATAATATATCTTATTTAATAACTTGAATAGCATTGAAATTTCATGCTTTTTAATATTTTTTGTTATAATTTCTTATTAATTGAATTATATGAATAATTTCCATTTTTTACATGATATTATTTTAAACAATGATCTACATCAACAACGATCTACACCAACAACGATCTACATCAACAATGATCTACATCAACAATCATCTAATCCTGACGATAAATCTAATTTAACTAAAAATATCCTATCTAATTAGAAAAACCAGTACAAACTACCTATCAAAAATTTAAAAATTTTTACAAAACCTTGTCTATTTAAATTGTGTTTGCAAAACGTTCAAATATTTGATCGTTGTGCAAAACAACAAAAGAAATTGTAAGAAAAACCGACGCGGAAAATAATGATCCTTAAAATAAAATTAAAACTATGTCTAAAATTAATTACGTAATTAATTCAATTATTTATGTGAGACGCTCTTTCATTATATTATTATTTTACACTTTTATCGTTATGAAAGTGTAAAATAATTTGTAAAATATAATTTAATAATCAATAAGTATAGGGGAAAAACAATAAATAAATAAATAAGTAAATGAAATGCGTTTCACAAAGAATTATTCTACCCATCACCATTTACTTATAATTACTTATAATTAAGTAATAATTAAGAAGAGTAAATAATAACTATAAGTAAGTAATTATTAATAAATTAATGAGTAAATAATAATTATAAGTAATTAATTACAAAATAAATTAATTACTTATAATTATTATTTACTCTTCTTAATTATTGTGCATGCACTTAACTATAAATATATCTCATCGATTATCTTACATCTATCTTATTGCTACCTTATTACTATCTTAATTGTACATGCATTAATTATAATATATCTTATTTAATAACTTGAATAGCATTGAAATTTCATGCTTTTTAATATTTTTTGTTATAATTTCTTATTAATTGAATTATATGAATAATTTCCATTTTTTACATGATATTATTTTAAACAATGATCTACATCAACAACGATCTACACCAACAACGATCTACATCAACAATGATCTACATCAACAATCATCTAATCCTGACGATAAATCTAATTTAACTAAAAATATCCTATCTAATTAGAAAAACCAGTACAAACTACCTATCAAAAATTTAAAAATTTTTACAAAACCTTGTCTATTTAAATTTACCTAGTACAAAATAATTTATAAGCTCTACCTATTAAAAATTTAAAGCTTTCATTTATGGATCCATAAAAATTAATTTAATAATCCTATCAATATCCTATTTTATAATGTTTTGTTTATTCCATTTACATAAAAATGGGAAAAATTGATTATATATATTCTGCTTAAATAAAAACTTAATCCAAGTAAAGGACGAGGAACGGGAAAAAGGCATTATATAGCAGATAGTCTTCTTTTTTTGTTGAAATTTCACAATGGTTCCTGTAACAAACTTAAATTTCAAGAAACTTTTTAGTAAAAGTTTACAACATAATAATCAATTCTTAATAAGAGATGATAATTATAATACATACTTTCTAATTGAAAATACATACTCTTTCCTCTTCTTTCTTTTTCATTTATGTCATTCTACTCAAGAGCCGCTGACACATAACATACTTACATAACTACTTGAAATATTATTATAAATTTGTCCTAGAAGTTAATAAATCTGAAACAAACTCATTTATTGGATTAGTACTTATAAAAAAAAAAAAAAAAAAAATAGTATACCTAAAACATATTAAGAAAAAACAGATTAACATACTATTGTTAAGTAATTCATAATTGTTCATTATTCATCAAAATTATAAGGATTAATTAAAAGGATTAAAAATCAAATTAAAAAATTTTAATACAAACTAATAAAAAACTTTTCAAATTCAGTTGAAAATTAATAATAATATTTGGCTTTTAATATTAACAATAAAATGGAATAAACTAATCAAAATCATATAATTTATTTTTTAATAACCAATAAATTTTATTAGAAATTTTCACATAAATAATTTTCAAAAATTTTTAAATAGACTTTTTTCGAAATAATTTTTTTTTTTAAATATAATATAATTCTACTATACTTCTGCGATAAGCCGAAGCCATTATATTCATAAAAAGTAATTTTTATTAAAATTAAGCAATAATCGCGAATTGCACATTTTGATTTATTAAAAAAATTTTAAATTGAATAATTCAAATATTTCATTCTAATCATATTAATTTTGAATAATAATGAAAAATTATTATTAGTAAAAACAAATATTTTTCACAATATTTTATGAAACAAATGCTCTCTTAATAAGGGGGTGCTGAAAAATAAAATTTAAAGAAGAGGTAGCCAGAAGGGCTACTAAAAAATAATAATCCACTCAATTTAAACCCGAGCAAAAACCGAGAGTGGAATATCTTTAATTTTTTCGCAACACTAATAATACACTAAATTTTTTTCACAAAAGCAAACGCGATGAGTGCTTTATTATTTTGTAATGACAATCAAAATATTTATTCTTAAACAAAAAAAAAAAAAAAAAAAAGAAAAAAAAGGAACTCCCGCAAATATACACTCTTAATAAAGTGTTCTAGATTTTTACGCAACTCTACATACTAATTTATGCACTCATGTTTCGTTATACGCAACACTAATGACGGATCCATTACAGCCATAGCAAGGGCTGCCGTTGTAAGATCACCAATGTGCAACTCTTGTAGTTTGCACTGAATGATCCAGAATCAGCAACATTTCCACCGTATCAGTGGAAAAACTTTGGGCATATTATAAACGCAACACTACATTTCAAAAAACGCGACTATTCATTGACGCAACACTACATCAAAAAACGCGATTATTCATTGACGCAACACTACATCAAAAAACGCGATTATTCATTGACGCAACACTACATTAAAAAACGCGATCATTCTTCAACGCAACACTAATTCTTCAAATGAATTTAATAAAAATTTTGTATTCTATATGTGAAATGTTACTTCAAATATTTCGATATTATAAATCGCAATACTACAAAATTAATTAAAAATAAAAGAAATATATAAAAAATTATAATATTTCATAATCAAAGTAATTAAGAGCAATCGCGATAGTTTTTTCATCGCAACACTAATACAAAACGCGAGATTTAAAAACGCAACACTAATTCAAACCGTAATTTTTTTTTTCGCAACACTAATGCAAAAAACGCGATTTGCCCATGATGACTGCATAAACGATGGGCCAGCATGCAAATTGGCCAGACGGTACAATAACATATACTACGTATTACTAAAACGAGCACAATGACAAAGTAGTAACAATGACTTCCCATTCTTTGGATCCAAAAAAGATCTAAAAAATGAGAAGCCATTCGTTGCAGCCCTCTTCGTGACAGTTTGTCGGGCCTCTTCGGTCTTCCTCCTTCGGGCGCAATGCCCGCTGAAACTTAAATCTAGGCTCGAAATTCACTAAACGCAAATCAAGAAAAAAAAGAAAAAAAAAATAACTAAATCGCGGAAACTAAGTGCATATGAACGACCAACGATCGCAATGACCATTCTCCGTACATATGCAGAATCTCGAGCACAACGTTCGTTTCGAAACACTTCGCGACCACGACCGCGAATTCGAAAAATCGACGAGCAGAACCAGAAACG